AGCAGTTCGCCCCTATGTATCTGGAGCATTTCGCCCCTTGGAGCCTTTCGCCTTGTCTCTGGATGGAGCATTTCGCCCCGTCTCTGGATGGGGCAGTTCGCCCCTATGTATCTGGAGCGCTTCGCCCCTTGGAGCCTTTCGCCCAGTCTCTGGATGGAGCATTTCGCCCCGTCTCTGGCTGGAGCATTTCGCCCCTACGTGATCTGGAGCGCTTCGTCCTTTGGAGCCTGTCGCCCCGTCTCTGGATGGAGCATTTCGCCCCTGCGTGATCTGGAGCACGTCGCCCCTTGGAACATGTCGCCCCGTATCTGACTGGAACAATTCGCCACCTGGGAGCGGGAGGGCAATGGAGAGCAAAGAAGAGGATGAGGAAGATATGAGTGGAAGACATGGCCAGGGCACGAAAATATAGATCTTGAGGGGGGGGGGGCGATCATATATATATATATATATATATATATATATATATATATATATATATGCAATGCTTCTGCGTGTAACGTACACGACGCTATGCAACTTATTGTTGACAAATGCTCACGGATATGAAATATGCACATCAAAACTTTCACACTCTAAAAACGCACGCCGTAGGGCGTGCGCGAATCATGCACGTTCGAACTTCTGGGTCGCCTGCGCGCTCTGATGCAGCCATCATTTCTTGGTGCTCCTTGGCCGCCAAACCTCTTCACCGCCAGGTGTCTAGGGGTTCAGAAAAAATGCCCGACCGAGGGCTCGTAGGGCCCAGGCCGCCCATAGCAGGCAAGCGAAGCAACGTACCCGAACTGCTCGGCGGCAGCGCCGCTGCCGCCACCCGGGGTCCACCGCCTCCCGCGGGGAGCCCGATGCTCGCGCCGCCCCTTGCTGCGCCGCCGCTGCAAAGCGGCCGGTGCTCCACGATGAGCACGCGAGGGTCACCCACTAGAGCAGCGCCGCGCCTGCAAAGGGACACCCAACCCGACGTCCACAGCCCCAGCCCGGCGCCAAACGCCGCGGGGGAGGATGCCAGGCAAGCCGGCACGACCACCTCTGGGCACACGCACAGGGGTGCCCCTGGGCAAACCGCCGCGAGGCAGGCCGCAGCCGGGCAGGCCGGCAACGGGCATTGGTCCAACTCGTGCGCGACCACGCACGGCGCCAGCTCGGGTGCGGAGTGGCCCCCAATGGAGCCGCCCAGCGGCAACAATCGCGGCGGAAGCTGGGTGGACAAGACGCATGCCACTGTTGCTCAATGTCTGAGCCAAAAATTAAGGCGGGGCTGGTTACGATCACGACAACGATCACATGGCACGCCATCAATTAGCAGACTCACAATCATCCCAATCATTACCACCACCACCATCATCATGGCTCTCACGCCCGGGGACACGAAATATCACGCGTGACGGCCACCCGTGATTGGAATAAACAAGTCTGGAACACTGGGAGTTCTGGGTTGGCACTGCGGCGGGACTTGCCGCAGGCAGCTGGATACACCAAGACGCGAACAGCAAGCATCCAAAATACACACGACATGCATATGTTATCCTATGGTTGCGGCTTGCAGAGGGGGATAGGGGGAGGATCGTAGGCGGTTGCCTCTTAGAAGCCGCGGGCGTCGTCTGTAGATGCAAGGCTGGCGCCTGCTAAGAAGCAACCTGCTAAGACACCTTCCCCCCTCCCCTTACCCTCTTTTGCGCGCCGCCAGCCGCGCAGAGCACGTGCACGGAACAGCCATTCGCAACACAAACACACACACATACATATACATACAAACACACACGCACACACAAACAAACACACGCACACACACACACACACACACACACACACACACACACACACACACACACATACACAGACACACACACACACGCACGCACGCACGCGCACACATCTCGCACGCAGTTCTGTCTCCCTGCTCATCCCCTCGAAGTCGGACGGCAAGTGGCGGTCAACGACTCGGCTCACGCGGCTGCTTTTTGTTTGGCCAGCGCCTCCCGGCGCCTGAGGCGCCAACGTTAGAGAGCCCACTCAGTACATGCGTCGGTGCTTCAAAGATGGGGTCCTGAGGGATGCGTTCCAAAGGACGAGGTGCGTCAAACAACGCAAATCCACCCTTGGATCCCTTCCCATCCTTAGGACAGCAACCCTCAAGACCCCATCTGTCAACCACCGAATACGCGCCCAACCACGTACATGAACACGGGCCCCCCAATCCGCGAAACCAGCCTCGTGATACGAATGTTCGCGCAATGCGCGCTTTCGAAACCAGCGTAGATTCATGTACGTGTATGTCCTTCGCGCTTGAAATGTGTTGAAGAAGGCGCCCAGAGGCAGGGCCGAAACTGGCTGGTGCGCCAATTCTCGTGCCACCCCTCCTAAGAGGAGTAACAAGGAGCACCGCTGCCGAAAGCCCATCGGGTGGGACCGACCCCTGGGTGGTGACACGCTCGATTGTCGAGCTGTTCTGGGGTGACGCTCAGGCGTGCACCCGCCCACCGCCCAGGAATCGGCCCCCCGATGGTTTTTCGGTGGCGGCGGTCCCTGTTGCAAGCCAGGACGAAGACGAAGTCGGGTGAGGATGAATCGCGAATCTCTGAGCTCTGGCGGCTCTGAAGGATGTCTCGGGCGCCGCGGCCATCTCAAAGCGTTCCCGAATGCTTTGAGATTGTTCGAAGACGCCCTTGAACGGATTTATCCTCGTCCTTGGGGAAACCAAGAGGAACCGATACCGCTACCCCCCAGACATCTCCCGGGGTGCGTTCTGACCAGAATTTCGAGGCGACTCCAGCGGTGGCGACGAGGGCCTCCCAAAAGGCCCAAAAAGGGAAAAACCGGCGAAGGGTAGAGGTATGGGTGCCTTTTCCTCCTCTGACGTCCTGGCTCCGTCCGAACTGCGCTTCGAGTTGCCTCATGCGTGGTTCTACTGATGGGCCTGTTTTCCACTACCACTACAATAAGTTAGAGGGGAAAGGAAGGAGGTGGAGAGGAGGAGGGAGAGAAGGAGGGGGAGGAGGAGGAGGAGGAGGAAGAGGAGAGGAGGGAGGAGGAGGAGGATGAGGACCCCCCTCCCCCTCCTGCGTATGGTAGTGGTAATGGAAAACAAGCCCATCATCTTTAGCGGGAGGAACCGAGGGGAAATGTTCGGGGAGACAGGCTGAGTGGGGGAAGCATCGAGCCAGAATCGGCGAGGCATCGCATGTAGGTGGGCGATGAGCCTCCGATGGCGAAGCCGCACGGTCTTGGGCGGGGTGTGATCGTACACTGAAGGGGCCCTGGGACACACAAAGAAATAGACGCAAATGACCAGACTCCCCATATGTTCATATATTTTCGGGGTGTTTGTCATCTCCCCACTTCCCATACTTTCCCATATCTTCTGGGGAATCGGCGATAAGTTGTGTCTGTGTTTTTTTGTTCCTCGTGATCTTGGGCGGGGTGTGGTCATACACCGCCTTCCCGAGGTCCTGGCACCGTCCCATGTTCTGGAAGAAAAAGAAGGACGTACACAGAAACTCTCGACGGTTCGGCGCGGATTCCCTGGATCTGCGCTGGCGATCCCTCCCTGGCGTGCGGAGCGCGCCAGGCGGCGGGCGCCCCATCGCAAATGCAAGAAACCCGCTCGGAGCACCAAAAATGTCTGCTTGTTCCGATTGTTGTTCTCCGATGTGCGTCCCCTGACTATGCTCGGGGAGCTTCTGAGCCGGGTCAATCCAGACCCGGGTCAGTCAGGCCTTGCAGAATCCTGCAAGATCCTGCACCCAAACCCGGGTCAATGCGACGGATCCTGCAACGTCCTGCAGGGTCCTGCACCCAAGCCCCGGTCAGTGCGACCCTGGCTGACCCCCGTCTGCATTGACCCCCGTCTCAAGGCTCCCGATCTGCCAGATTCACCCAACCCCCGGCGCCCGCCCCTCCGCTCGCAGCCCTGCCTGCGCCCGGCGTGCCCAGGAGGCCGCGAGGCACACCGTCGGAGCCACCAGGGTGCGCCAGAAGCGCACCGAGCCAGCTTTCGTAGCCACTCCTTGCCATCGCTCGGACGTGCATGGCTCGGTTGGGTGGTTTGTTCCCTTGGCGAGGTGATCCGAGATGTTCCGCAATGGTCTTCGCCAGTAGGGACTGCGCCCGTCCGAGCGATGCCAAGACGCTGTTAGAACACGCGACAAAGACTCAGCCAGGCTAGGCCAGCTTTCGACCGCGAACGTACCAGCGCCGATGCTTGCACCAACCTCCCAAGAACTCCAACACCCCTCCAAGCTTGGAGGCGGCCAGTGGGTCTGAGCTGGGTGGGTCCCGAGAACACTGGTTAAGACAAGAGGATCAAACATGGTAACCCCCCTCATACTCGGTCGCCAAATTCATCCTGGGGTCCATCTGGTGTAGACGGATCCTCTCGGGGTCCATCTGGTGCATCCGCTCAAACCTGGATCTGTCTCTGACGGTCCTGGCGCCTGAAAACAACCCCTGGAGACCGCAACAGGCCAACAAAAACCTTCTCGAACCCAGAACCTCGAACCTCCCCTCCCCTCGTGCTCGCCGGAACCAATGCTGGGCAACCTCAAACCCCAGGCTGGCTCCCAAACCTCAACTGGTCACGGGCGTCATCGCAAATAATGAAAAATTGGCTCCGGCCGCTTTGCGCTGCAAGAAGCGCACTCTAGTCCGCTCCTCCTCCGTTGTCTAGGGGGCCACCAGCTACAGTCAGGCTTTTGACATAAGGAACGCTAAGCAAGGAGCGAAGCCCCTTTTTGGCCCCCAAAGCGCCTGCGTACGAGGAGCGCTAGAGAAGCAGCCATGGAAGGACCTCAGGGGAGAATAGAGGCCCTTCGGAACCCAAACTGCCTATCACTTCAGCATGCGGCTGTTTCCTTGGCCACTGAAACTGGCGAGGCCTAGTTTCGGCCAACCGTCCGCACGTGCAGGCCCCTCTCGGGCCAGGAGGCCCGTCAGCCAATCCTGTGCCAGCCTCGTCCTGCCTGGCGCTCGCTTGCTGTCCCAGTGCGATGTAGGCCGCCCTCCTGTAGCTATCACGAACGGGAACCGGATGGGCTCCACGCACTCGTTCACGATGAACGCGATTATAAGGTTGCCTGCGTCCCCCCCGCACGTCGCGCAGATTGCGGGGAGCGCGGAATGAACATATCGGCTTCCAAACACTCACCACCTCGTAAAGACATCAATCCGCAACTCAAAGCTTACGCAGACGAACAGCCGTCGGCAAGCTTGCAAGCGATGAAACTAGCGCTGTGGAGGCATAAGGCAACAACCGAACCCACGCAGAACAATAACCTCGTGCTGAACCACTCACCATCGCTCGGACGTCCATTCCCAGTGCATTGTTCGATTTCGTGCGTGTACTTTCCGCAAGATGATCCAAGATGCTCCTCGACGGTCCACGCCGAGAAAAAAATGCACACGTCCGAACGATGCCCATACATTGCCGTCATCCTCGCTGAACCCCCTTGCTGACCATCTTGACTGTCCAGTTTATCACCGACCTTGAAGAGGGTGGTCCAGATGAGTTCAGCATGGGTAGCTGTAACCCACTCTCCGTGGATCCGCAGAAACTGACAAACATCGGATTTGCTGTTTCGAAATCCGGATTTGACATTAACTCTGGGAACCCATGCAGCCCGCGTCCTCCTCTCGCCCCCCATGCCCTCCCTCTACCCTCCCTCCCTGCCTCGCTCGCCCTCTTGTTGGGGAGTCTGCGGGCGCGCCCGGAAAGGCGCTCGCTCCCTTGTTGCCGACCAACGAAAAACAAGAAACCCGACTACGCACCCCACGTACGAGTAGATCCCACCTGCGAAAATAAAATGTCGATGGCGGCGCTGGAGGTACGACGTGGACTGCTCCACATGGTGCGCCCAGGCATTCCGAAGGCTTCAGAAAAGACTGGGAATAATGCGGTGTTGGTCATCGAGTCACACGGTGCACTGTGTTATGCGACGTGCGGGGGCAAATAAGCGCCCTCCAATTGGCACAAGCACACGGAACTGAAACACAAATTGCAGAATGATAAAATCCATCCCCGAACATGCATGCCCTGGGGTGGAGGTCGTACCTCGGATCTAATTATCCCACGAGGGGGATATGAGGGGTTGCCCCCAACCCGACTGCAGCTGACCATGGCCTCCTAGGAACAAAGGGGCACGAATCTGAGGACTATCACCGTGGAACCTGTCAAGGAGAGGCTGGCGCCGAGACGAGGGCGCGGTTCGGAACCACGAATATGGCATACTCCAAGCCGCGAACACCATACCTGGCTGGGAATGCAGCTGGGAATGTGGCGAGAGCCACCTGGGAAATGGGGTGGGAGCCTGGATAGGTGGCGACATCCGAACCCTGCCCCCACGAATAATCGTTTCTCCTGAATCGGTGGTAGGCGGGGGTAGGGTTCGGACTTCGCCACGTGTTCGACGAATTCAGAATCCCACCCCCGCCGACCATCGAGTTGCCTGAATCGTTGATCGGTGAGGGTAGGGTTCGGATTTTGGCCGCGGACTGGAGTAACTGGCAAGCGCAAGAGCGGCAGCATCAGCACAAGGCATCGGAGAAGCAGCTCCGCCACGCTGGACTGGGTGAAGCAAGTGCCCCTGCAGTCGCCGAACCTCCCAAACTACACGCTGGGTTCGGGTCGTGACGACTTCGGCGCTCGTCTCTGACACCGCGTGGATCGCAAGACCTTGAGAACGACAGGCGGCTTTTCGATCGCCAGATCGTTCCATATTGGACGATCCTGGGCCAATGGCGGCGCTCAGCCTTGAACGCCCGCGCTGAGACGTCGCTACGTCGACATGGCACGAACCTACCGTAGAAAAGGGAAGCGCAGAGGGATGAGAGCAGAGAAGGCATATGTACGAAACATGTGCTGCCGCGCTCGCCCTCCCGTCACCCATGGTGGGGTCCACCCGCTCCGCGTAGCCCTCCATGCCGGCCCGCTCCAACAGAGGCAGTAGCGAATCTTGCCAAGACACCACCTTCGACGCGCCAAGGCAGGAACGGGCTCAAGCAAGACGGGCAGGAGAGCCCTGAGTGCATCAGTGAGAGTACTGCCCAAAGGTGAGCGGGAGGTGCAAGGCAACAGAGCGGCGCACGCCGAAACTGGGCAGCAACGCTGGCAGCAAGGCGCGTTCATACAGGCAGAGTCACGACATGACTGATTGCTGAGAAGCGAAGGCATGACAGTCTTCCGTTGCGACCTTGCGATTGAAGTAGTAGTCGATACCAACATGATTTGGATCAACTGTGCAACATTAGTGACCCGCTTAAGGGACACCCTGCAAAAAGGAGAACGGGTGATTGTGGAGCCCCTCGCCTTTCGGAGGCTGTTTTCTTACATCTGCTTTTCGTAAGGTTGTCGGCTCCATCCTCCTCCTCTTTCTCCTTCTCCTTCTCCAGCCCCTCGTTCTACCCCCTGCCTCTTCCTCCTTCTCCTCCTCCTCCTCCTCCTCCATTCCTCCTCCTCCTGTTTGTTTGTTTCTCTCTGCCCCCCCACCACCACAAAAAAATCAATGGGTATGTTTTCATTTTGGGGGGGGGAATCCTTTGAGGCACTTTCAAATGGAATTCCTTTTGTGCGGGTTTCCTATCTAATCCCATTGGGGCGCTTTCCAATAAATTCCTGTCGAGAGGCGTTCCAATATAACTCCCTTTGTGGTGCTTTCCGAAGGATTCCCGTTGTGAGAATTCCTCATCTCGTCCTCATCCTGCTATATTTTTCTCTGTTCCCACCAACAAACATAAAAAAAACAGAATGGGCCACCATTTTTTTTTGGATGGGGGGATCAATTATGGCGTTTTCAGTGAAGTCCCTTTGTGCGGATTTCCTAAATAATCCCGTCGGGGTGCTTTCGCATGGATTCCTGTTGAGAGGCGTTCTAATCGAATTTCCTTTGGGGCGCTTTCCAACGGATTGTCCCTTTGCGGTGCTTTCCGAAGGATTCCTGTTGTGAGGATTCATCCTCTTGTCCTCCTCCTCCTCCTGCTATATTTTTTCTCTGTTCCCCCCCCAAACAAAAAATGTGCTACAATTTTTTAAAGGGGGGATCACTTGTGGTGTTTTCCATCGAAATCCTTTTTGTGCGGATTTCCCAAGTAATCCCGTTGGGGGGCTTTCCAATAGATTCCTGTTGAGAAGCGTTTCAATCGAATTCCGTTTGTGGCGCTTTCCAAGGGATATCTGCTGTGAGGATTTCCAATCGAATCCCTTCTGTGGTGTTTCTAGAGGGTTCACACTGTGCCGGTTTCCAATATGATGCAATTGCGGCGCCTTCCAAAATATTCCTTTTGCGAGGCTTTCCATCAGAATCACTGCGTGGCGCTTTCCCAGTGGATTCCGGTTGTGAGGCTTTCCAATATAATCTCCTTTGATGTGCTTGGCAAATGATTCCTTTCGTGCTGCTTCCCAATAGAATTTCCTTGTGGCGCTTACCAAAAGATTCCGGTCGTGATGTTTTACATCAGAATCCTTTCGCGGCGCATTCCAAACGATTTCCACTGTGATGATTTCCGCTAGAATCCCGTTGTGGCGCGTTCCAAAGGATCCTTGTTGCGATGCTTTTTAAATAAAAATATATTTGCGATGCTTTCAAAGGAGTCCTCCCGTGAGGCTTTCCAATCGAATCCCCCTGCGGCACTATCCAAAATATTCCTGTTGTGAGGCTTTCTGGTTGAATCCCTGTGGTACCTTCCGGTGGATTATATGTTTTTGTGCGGCTTCCCAATGAGAGCCTTCAGTGGTGTTTTCAAATGGTTTTCTGGTGTGGGGCTTCCCCATGGATTCCCTCTGTGGTGCTTTCCGATGGGTTCACTTTTGCGCGGCTTCTCATTCGGAGACCCTTAGTGGCGATTTCCAATTCCATAGAACCGCTGTGGGGTGCTTTCCGAAGGATTTCTTCTGTTGTACTTTCCAAAAGGAACACGTCGTAGCGTTTTCCAAAAGATTTCTCTTGTGATATTCTACAGTCGGAGCCCTTCGTGTTGCTTTCCACCGGATTTCTCTTATGAGCCTTTCCAATGCAATCCATGTGCTGTGTTTTCCAAAAGAATTAAAGCTGCGAGGCCCTCCGACATAATCCATTTTATTGCGTTGTTCAAAAGATCTCTACCGCGAGGCCGTCCGACAAAGCCTGTTCGATTCCTTACCAAAGGGTTCCAGTGGTTTGCTCCAACAGAATCCTCCTGGGCGCTTTCCAAAGGATTAAAATTATGATTGTTTCTAACAATGCGTGTTGCTAGACAGTGCTTTCCACATGAACCCTGTTGTGAGGCCATACAATGGAACTCCGGTGCAGAGTTTCGCACAGTGTTCCAAACCCGAGGCTGTCCAATCGAATATCTTGTGTTGTCCAAAAGTTTCCTCCTGTGATGCTTCCCAATGGAAGCCCTCAGCGATGCTTTCTAAACAGTCTTTTGTACGTTTTCCCGTAGAACCCTTGATTGTAGTGATTACGAACGGATTCCTGTTGCGACGCCGTAGGAACCACGCTGGGTGATTTCCGAAGGATCCCTTTTGCGGGAGCTCCAATACAAAGGATCTCTATTGCGAGGCCATCCGACAAAACCTGTTCGATTCCTTGCCCACGGGTTCCAGTTGTTTGTTCCCGCAGAATCATCCTGGGGCGCTTTCCAAAAAATTCGAATTATGCTTGTTTCTCACAAAATGCGTGTTGCTAGACAGCGCTTTCAACATGAACCCGGTTGTGAGGCCATACAATGGAACTCCGGTGCAGAGTTTCGCACAGTGTTCCAAGCCCGAGGCTTTCCAATGGAATATCCGTAAAGGCTTCGCCCCCTGCCGCCGGCCCCCTCTCTCGGAGAATGGGCCATGGAAGAGCTAAGTCATGAGGCTTTGGCGCTGTCGTGCAGCAGTATCGGAACTTCATGCGAGGCCGATTCGCAATCGGCAAAACCAACTGATCACAAGAGGGGTTACCACACAGGGCGATTGGTAAGACGTGTATGGTTTACGAGCTTGGTTACCACACCTTGGGATTAAAGGGCCGAGGGAGTACTCGCAGTTTGGGTTACCACGCCTTGCGATGGATGTGCGTGAGGGGTGGCACCGAATTTCAGAAATGTGGCAAATCCCCTGTGTTTTTGGACCCTGACCCCGCGGATCTGCGTGAGGGGTGGCACCGAATTTCAGAAATGTGGCAAATCCCTTGTGTTTTTGGACCCTGACCCCGCGGATCTGCGTGAGGGGTGGCACCGAATTTCAGAAATGTGGCAAATCCCCTTGTGTTTTTGGACCCTGACCCCGCGGATCTGCGTGAGGGGTGGCACCGAATTTCAGAAATGTGGCAAATCCCATGTGTTTTTGGACCCTGACCCCGCGGATCTGCGTGAGGGGTGGCACCGAATTTCAGAAATGTGGCAAATCCCCTGTGTTTTTGGACCCTGACCCCGCGGATCTGCGTGAGGGGTGGCACCGAATTTCAGAAATGTGGCAAATCCCCTGTGTTTTTGGACCCTGACCCCGCGGATCTGCGTGAGGGGTGGCACCGAATTTCAGAAATGTGGCAAATCCCCTTTGTTTTTGGACCCTGACCCCGCGGATCTGCGTGAGGGGTTCGATTTCGAGCCCCCCCAGCAATTCAGACAACGCGCCCAGGAGACGCTAAAAATCCCGTTTGGGCCTCCCCCCCTCGCGCGGTCAATCAACTAGTTACAGTAACCAGCAAGAAGTCAACTAGTTACAGTAACCAGCAAGAAGCAGAACTGTAACACTGGAAACTACAAGCTACAACTGGTACAGGAAACTGCGAATCACGCGCCTCGCAGCCTGGTGGCCCCCCAAGGGGGCCGGCGGATTTTGTGTTGCCCAAAGGTTTCCTCCTGTGTAGAAGCCCTCAGCAATGCTTTCTAAACAGTGTCGTGTGCGATGTTTTCCAATTGAGTCCTTGATTGTAGTTGCTCTGAGCGGATTCCCGTCGCGAGGCCGTAGAACACATGTGGGCCACACATGTGGGGTGATTTCCAAAGGATTCCTGTTGCGGGCGCTCCTAGACAACCTTGCTTTGAGCAGTTCAAAGGACTTCTGTTGTGAAGCCGTCCAGTACAATGGTTTATATTGATTTCCATAGGGTTCCAATTGTAAAGTTTCCTCGCAGAGTTCCTCTGAAGCGCTTTGCAAAGGATTCCAAGTATGATTGTGTCTAACAGAATGTGTTTGGAGCGCTTTCTCATGGATCCCAGTTGTGTGGCCATCCACTGGAGTCCCTGTGTAGCACTTCGCACAAAATTCCGAATGCGAGGTTTTCCAATCGAATCCCTTTGTGGCGCTTTCCAAAAAAGATTCCCTCTGCGAGGCTTTCAATCGAATCTCTATATGGCACTTCTCAAAGGATTCCTCTTGTGATGCTTTCCGATTGAAACCCTCAGCAATGCTTTCCAAACGGCTCCGGTGCTGACGCTTTCCAGTCGAATCCCTTGGTATGATTCCCAGCGGATTCCCGTTGCGAGGACGTTGAATCTTTGCTTCGCTTTCCAAAAGGATTCGTTTGTGATGCTTAAGGAAGGAGATGCATATCATATGTATGTGACAAAGAAGAAAAGGGAGAAAGCGAGAGAGGAACAATAGGGATAATGATGAAGACAAGGCTGAAAGCTCGCGAAATTTAGTGGCACACCGAGGGGCTCCACAATCCCCTGGCCTCGCAGAAAGACCCTCCAGGGAGGAATATAGACGCTGCCGAGAGATCCGAGCATGGTAATTCTAAACTGATGCGCCTGCCACCGTGCCTGTGCACGAAGGGCATGCTGGACAATGCACGTGGACACTATATGTGGAGAAAGCTTCGCGGTAGGAGCAACCTACTGGTGAATGGTGCAAAGTACGCGGGAGGAGCTGCATGGTGTAAGCTACTAGTAAGCGCCAACGGCTGCCATGACACCTGAAGGCTGGTACCGAACAACTCGTAGTACACCAAGACATCCGTCATGCATTGTATATTCAAGTGTTCGTCCCCGTTCCCTCATATAGAGTTCCCATACAGTCATGCACCACATGACGTCTGATAGGCCACCAAGCTGCTTCGAAAGTGCCTTCTTATCGACGGCCCTTGGGGATGACAAGGAGAAAAGAAGGCGGACGCAGGGTCGCGCAACTGCGCTCCTCCATCTCGAGCAGCATGTAGATCCCGAACAAAGAGCTACCCCAGACCTGCCCAACTACCCCTTCGACCAGGCTCACGTCGCGAGGATGTGGGCGTTGGATTGTGGTACTGCATGGACCGTCCTGCTGTGAAGAACGATCGCTGCCACAGATCGTTAGATATAGGCCGAGCTCAGGCGGCTGGTGGCATTCAACCTCGAACGCCTGTGCCATCTTCGACGCCGCGTACACGCAGCGCGAACCTCCCGCAAATCAGAGGACACGCAATACTTACGGGACCACTTTGGATGGCCCCACGTAGCCCCAGCGCTGCCGGTGGTCTCTGTGGCGGCGCCCCCCACCGTGAGAGAACAGAGATCTACCTGCGAGCCTCCCTGAGGGATCGAGCTGCGGAGGTAGCCCCGGACTTGAATCAGAGCTCACTGCGGTGTGGAGGTCCTTTGTGATGCTCTGCTAGCACTCCTAGCAACCTCGCCTCGGGTTAGAAACGACGAAACGACTTATGCCCACTGAAGGATCGTCCCTTCAACAGATTAGATTTGTGGCTTCTTTCAACTTTCGACAAGGCCGTCACCGACTTCGTCCGACACCGCGTGTCGCAAATGCATTCGGACATGCAGTAAATGCTTATCCAACTCTCAACTCTGGCACGCTTACGCCTTCTGCTGTGATTGACCTAGTCGCCGGTGCAACCCTCACCGCCGCCGCTGGCGCAGCAACGCCGCCGCATAGACGACGCCAAAGCTGGGTACTCCAACTTGTCCACCTTGTTCACTCAGCGGGAGGGGGTGGATCGCGTGTAGCGGTAGAAATGGGCACATGCGCAGGGCGCTCGTTATCCACTTAAACGCGCGGGGGGGGGGGCGACTTCGGCGCGGGGGGGCGGGCCAGAGCTAGAGCGGGCCGTCAGATGGAATTTAGCACGGAGAGGGTGCTACTTGAACGACGCGCACGCAGAGGAAGCGACGTGAAGGGGTGGGTGGACTGAAGGCCACGAGGTGGGCAGACCAAGCAGAAGCTCGAAACGCACGCACCCCAGACAGGGCAGTCGGGGCTCTTCTGACCCAGGTCAATCCAGACCCGGGTCAGTCAGGCCTTGCAGAATCCTGCGGGATCCTGCACCCAAACCCAAGTCAATGCGAAGGATCCTGCAACATCCTGCAGGATCCTGAGCCCAAGCCCGGGTCCATGCGGCCCGTGGCCCTGCAGGATCCTGCAAGATCGGGCGCTCTGGTGACCCCCGTCTGCATTGACCCCCGTCTCAAGGATCCCGAGGCAGGCGTTCTCACCCCCCACACGCTGGCAGGTATTCTTAGGTCGGGCATGTCCCCCTACAGTGCGAGGATTTTAGACGAAAAAACAAAAATACCCCCAAAACACACCCAAAATAATACAAAAAAGGCTCAAACAATCGTCCCCCGACTATTTTTAACTATCTCTAAATATTCCTCCAGTAGAGGGACAGGCCCGACTTGAGGGTATTCTCACACCCTGCACGCCCGACCCAGCTCATGAGCTCGCTCCGCCAGGACGGCGAACGCGAAGCCGCAGCTCAAGCGCGGATGCGCTCCATCTCCGGCACAGGGGAGGACACACGACGGCACGCAGCGTGTCGCAGATCCGCGCCAACCCAGAAATCCTTCCTGACCTCTGAACAGTTAGGTTTGCGTCATCTGCCTCTTCCTGGTAACGTATTGGGCAACTGTGGTTCCCCCAGCGCGCTCGAGCCCAGCGCCTTTCTAAACCTCCGCCCCTGCGCCTCTCGATCCTCGGCATTCGGCCTCTCGCGTGCCCTTATACTAATCGCAACCTTGTCTTTGCATGCACCGAGATGCTGTGCTTGTTCTCTTCGCGTCCATCCTCGAACTCGCTTCGTGCCGCCACCCCGAACCTGATATGTTGAACCGCCTCGTGTTCAATGGCGCGGGAGAGCTATACGTAATGATGACCCCGCTAATCCTAGATCGCGCAGAACAGGAAGACCCCCTTTTATCCAACGGGAACTACCGTGCTGCCACCAGGGCGTGGGCAGAGCACGCTGTGCCTCGCTCTGCTGCCCTGCTTCTCTCTGGCCACCCCCAATAACTTCGGATCATACTCCCATCGCGTGCACACTTGCACAGATCTTCATACCATCAGCCTGCTGCCACTCCTTTCATGACATCATGCTGCCCCCCGAACACCGTCGCGTACCACATCGCGAAGCCAGCTCCTCCGTGCGCCCGTGACGCATCGTCTCTCTCGTGGCTGAACAGACTCGAACGCTGGCCCCCGGCCAGGGGGCTCTTGGCTGCAGGGATCGAGTGGCCATCATCAAGCCAATCGGTGGTTGGCAGCACGGCGAGCGCAGTCAACCCGTATGATAAGGATGCGCGGTAAGGATGCAAGGGTCTTGGAGGGCCATGTCAACGTTTTTCGAACGAGGTTGGCCAGCGAAAGTCGCTGAAGACGGGCCGAGGGGGCAGGGATGCAAGGGCAGCCTTGGAAAGCTGCGGGTTCTGTGAGCAGACCGAGTTTCACGGCGGAGACGAAGCACCGAGACCTCAGGACCTTGAGGCCTGAGCCCTGCGCCGTGGCCAGTGTCCGCCCCTCATCCAGGAGTCTCGGACGGACCCGGCATGTACATGACCATCTGCCAAGCCCCTGCTAACGGGGTGTTCGTAAACGGGGTGGTAGCTCAGGGTGCGTTTTCAATTGTTTCTTCGAAGAGTTAAGTTGCCGCGCGCAGGTGCGAGGTAACCCTCACGCCCAGAGTTATGATGTATCGACGGTTTTGTCGTCCAGATTTATCACGCACTAGCGCAAGGTAAATGCCCTGTCGCCCTGTACTCGCTCGTAGAGTCCGCTTAGCTACCACCCTGTTTGGGAACATCCCGTTTGCAGGAGCTTAGATCTGGTTCGAAGCAGGAGCCCTGCCGAAAGCGCACCGCGAGCACCCTCGCTGGCAAACGCCAAGGGTTCGCCACGGGACGGCCTCGAGCACCGCCCCCGCTGTCGCGGGGAGGCGCGGGGCTGAGCAACGGCGGCCCTGCGCCACGGGGGCGAACCGCGTCCGCACGAGGGCGGCCACCCCCCTCCCCCCAGGCGCTGGTAGGCGCCCCCGGAGTCGAACCGATCCGTCGGACTAGCGATCATATCGAATCGGATAGGCGGAAATCGGCAGCCGAGCCGGGAAAAGTCGGATCGGCGAAAATCGGCAGCCTGGCCAGCCTCCATTCAAGAAACCAAGGCCCCAATCGGAATCTGAAGTCGAATCCAATCGGAATCGGAAGCCATCAAAATCGGATCGAATCGAATCGGAGGAATCGAAATGAGCCCTGGGCGCTGGGCGCGAACTAATGGGGGGCGATAAACGGCAGGGGAGAAAGGTGCCCTTCTCGGGCCCTGGAGGCCCCCCCTTGGGCCCTAAAGGGCCCCTTTACATGCAGTTCCGGGCCCCTGTTCTGCAGCCCTTGCTGCCCCCCCATTACCGCCCCCCACTGATTCGTGCCAGCAGGCCCGTGGACCCCCCTCAAAACATGGTGTGGTGTATACTGTCGGGGAGACTAGCTGCCGCGCCCCAGAGCATGGGCCTCGTTCTATACACCAATACCATCGTATGCACCGCAAGCTGGACGGGCGCATGGGCCCGCGGACAGCGCCGGAATCGGTAGGTCCTATACACCGAAGATTACCGTGCTGGCGCGGGTAAGAAACGCGCAACACCCGCCCTGCCTCGGAATTCAATCGCGCGTCAGGCGCCCTTGTCCCCAAACGCGCGACCCCCGTCAGCTTCACGTCGGCGCTGCGCTGACAGCGGTTGGCCATCCCCCCAGAAAACACCCCGCGGGTGGTGTATGTATTGCGCCCCACCGAGAGTCCACATCCCCATGCCACTTCGACATCGGGACAGGGTGTGCGAGAGCAATCAGTCACGCCCTGGCTTGGCACGGGGCAGTAGATACCCGTATGCCCAGTCCGAACCGAGCCTGGTAGATTTCGGCGAAAACAACAGACTTCATCAACATACACTTTCGGAGGTCCGCGCGGATTTCTCAAGGGCTCCGAAGTCCGCGCTGCGCAAAGCGTGAACTGTGAATAACTTCGCGCTCTCGCGCCGCCCCCCTGGGTGGAGCCCCAGCCGCCATCGTGGGCCCAGACTGGCGAAACGCGAACGGCGAAGAACTTCGCGCCCTCGTGGGGCCCTTGATTACCCGGATCTTTGCTGGACCCCCCCCCCCTCCCTGGCGCGGGGCGCGCCAGGGGCGACGCGCGGCGTGACACCCAAGGAGCACCGTTGGGCCTGGCGGCCGCGGTATGCAGTCGTCATTCGTCGACACGATGCGGGATACCTAGGAAGCACTGGCATACTTTGGGTCTGGCGTCCGCAGTATGCAGGGTGTACGAGGCGGGTTGGGAACTCTGCCGATTAAATCTAACAGCCCCTTCTTGCCAGGTGGGGCAAGACTGCACTGCAGCATTTCCAATATAACTGCGGACATTGCCACTTCGTACGCCAGGACTCTAACCGAGACCTCACAGCGCAGCCCGAAAACAATGTCACTACTGTTGGGCGAAAGAGACATGGGAAACTGCAAGATTATGCGCAATCTGCACGGGTCAACCATCGTGCGGTCCAGAATGCCAGCGCCCGTTAGACTGAGCACCCAGAAAAGGCTGACTCTGCAAGAGCAACTGCTGTGTACGTTGGGGATGGAAGGCGCATGCCCCGCACTGAAAGCACTGGGGCGGAAAGGACGGGAGAGCAACTGAAACTCTGGCATAACACCTTGTGGCGGAGGCATCCCAGGGTGGATCAGCTCGTCAAGATGTGCCCAGTGAGCTGCGGTCTGGCTCGCGACGGTTGTGCTGAGACATTTTGTCAAACGACTGACCTCGTGGCCACGATTTGGACCCCCCCACGATCGTCCGTATTGCATGACCATCTGCCACATGCCCTTGCGCTTGGCCAGCTTCTCGACCTCTAGGGCTCCAGAGAAGTCGCTGCAGAGAAAGGCAGCTGTGCTTGCACGCGCGCGTGCACGAGGGAGAGGGGTCCGCCCGCGCGAGCGCACATTGAGCTGCATCCCTGTCTGGCTGGTTCGAGGCGAGCACACTGAAGGCGCCCCGGGACACTCAAATAGATAGGCGCGATCCCAAGATCCCTCACACTTTAGCACGGCTTCTGGAGGTTCGCCTTCCCCCCCCCCCACTTCCCCCAATATTTTCACGTATTTTCCTGGTGATCGCCGATTGGTTGTGCCTGTGTTTCCCCCTCCGAACAATCTTCGTTCCGTTCACCTTTCGGGGGCAGCGGTCGGGGGACCGGCTCAGGGGGGGTAAGCGTCAGCATCGAGTCGGCGACGCATCGCCGATAGATCGGCGAGAGGCCTCCGACTGCGAATCCGCACGTTGCTGGGCGGGGCGGGGCTATCGGCCCCTTAACGGGGGTCGATGGCGGGGACCCATGGGCAATTGGGAGCCCATGCGCCTCCCCCCCCCCCAAGCCTGTCCCTCCCCCCGCCCTTGCCCCGAACCCTTCTTGCATCTCTTCCTTTCATTATTGCTGGGGGGGGGAGGGGAGGGGGCGCATGGCGTCGTTTGACACGGCCCCACCCTGATGCTCTCTACGTGCGCCTGGAGGAGAGGCCCAAAGCCAACAGCGGCAGCTGTTGGGCAGCGACTTCGTGCCTTCGGCGACGTAACGTCTGCGGCGAGACCGACCACGAAGCCTGCTCGAGATGGACAAGAACTGCCGTGGGTCTTCGTTGCTCGAGAAGCAAAACAATCTTCTTAGAACACAGAAACGATGCGTTCAAACAAACAGTCTCAACCAGAAGTGTTCCAAGAACAGTTCGTGCAAACCATAGTCGGTTATTCGAACATGTGGTGGGCCTAACCTCGAAGACTCTTGAGACCCTCCCTCAACAAAAGTAACTAACTACTTTGTTCACCGGTATTATTCACGGACCGGGGCCCCAACAATAGGGAGTAACTGATTATTCCCCATATCCTACGATGGGGTTCTTGCTATTACTTTGACCACGCCAGACCCGGACCCTTCTCACCCCTCCCTTCCCTCCTCCCTCTCTACAGTAGGAGGTGATGATGATGATGCACGAAGATGATGATAACTGAAGGTTGTGGTGATGAACAAGGATGGTGATGATTACGCCGATGAAGATGATGATGGTGATGATACTTAGGATGGTGATCCCAATACATGATGGTGACGAATATTGCTCGATTGGTGATGGTGATGATCATATGGCGATGAAGATGATGATGATGATGATGATGATGATGATGGTGATGATGATGCTGATGCTGCTGATGATGGTGATGATGATGAGCGGCTTGCTTGTTTAGCACTCCTGAGGGGGGGGCGCCAGGGGGTATATTACACGGCCTCCGTTCGCGCCCCGATTGCGGGGATGTCTCAGGCGTTTGTTTTTGTATGTTTCCTGACTCAACATCCTTCGTTGTCGGAGCAGATTTTGAGGGTGTTTCGTGCAAGGCGTTTCCTAAGGGGGGGCAGCCAGGGGCATTGCACGGCCTCCGTATTGTCCTTCTCCTGCGGCTCCAATCCTAAGTGTATTACTTATGTCCTTGTAGATTGGGCGTCCTGTGGGGCACGAGTCCTTGGTGTTTGACGTATGTTCCTCTCTCTCGCTCTCTCTCTCTCTCTCTCTCTCTCTCTCTCTCTCTCTTCTCTCTCTCTCTATATCTCTTTCTTTCTGTCTATATACGTACGAGCAGTAAGATGGCATGATCGACGGTGTCTCGCTCTGCTGCACGTGGCTGCTGTTGCCACTCATGGCAACGGCACTGCAGGGCGCAGGGCGCACGCTGGGATATCGATGGTCATGCCATCGCACGGGAATTGGGGGAGCCATAAGGAAAACAACAGCACGTCAAGGGAATGAGTCGAAACCTGAGGATACGACCGAGATTGGGGATCGGAGACAGGATGCCCGCGGGCGCCCCCAGCCTGGAACCACACTTGGTCAAGCTGGGGGGGGGGACTTGCACATCTAAAGGCAGGCCACTCCGTTCTGTTGCTTGCGTGGAGGGCTCGGAACCGCATCGCACGCCTCTGCAGAAAGAGGACCACCTATTGGAACACGGTCCGACACGGTGGGCAGCCTCGATCTTTGCTACCTCTTCCGCGGTCTGACGCGGACTCATCTGGGGCGCAAGCTTCACCTGCGCACCTGGCACTGGAATGACCTCCGTCGTGGAAAAATCTGCCGCTGGAATCAGTGGATATTTGTATGCGAAGTCTCCTGGCGCCATCATCTGCGTCGGCGATATCGGCGTGCATGAGCAGGGCACAGGAACTTGGGCGCCATCTTCATTGGACTCCTGCTTCATCTGAGAAGCGCACTCTTTTTTGACGATCGGTGTGGCTGTTCCTCCTATCGGTGTCATCGCTCCTCCTATCGGCGTCGCTGGGTCGAGCTGAGCAGGACGTGGCGTTGGCGAGAGCGGACGCCGGCGATGGGCGGGAGGCGTTTCTGCATTCGGTGCCGGTGACATGCTCGAACGGCCTGGCTGGTACCCCGCCTGATCTTCAGCCGGCCTCGTAAACCCCGAAGATGACACTCCTGATGAACTATTGTTCTGGCCCTCTTGATCTGACTTGACACTGCGGACCGCTTCGCCCACGGTGGCAAGACACTCATCATGCGCACGTGTCATCGATATAACCTGGCCATCTGATGCGCCATCGCCGCATCAGCACTGCTTGCCTGCTGCTGAGGCTGAGCCGTTGGTGGTGGGGGCGGCGGCATCACGGGAGCACCTTTGCCCGTGCCTCTGTCCACTGGGGGAGCGCCACCTCCTGGTCCGCGTTGTGGAGGGGGCGGCATTGGAGCCCAGGCGGCAGCGGCGGCGCGGCGCCATGCTGGGGGGGCAGCCACGCCGCGGCAGCCGAATGATTGACTTGAGGCTGCCCTGCTGGCGCCCAATCCATGTCGTCATCCACGTCATCCTCCTGTTCATACTGTTCAAGTTCCTTGACGTTCTGATGCAAATTCTGCATTTCATCGGCTTCTCTGGCAGATTGGCTTTCCTCGCTCTGCTGTGCTACGATCTGTTCCCGGACTGACCTGATCTTGTCTGAAGCCGTGTCTTTCATCGATTTGATTCCCCCAAACTGAACCGGAATATTCTCACAACTTTGGGCCATTACCTTCAGCGCTGAAGTCTCGTGAACCAATGCGTTAACTTGTTTTCCTGCCTCCTTCGCCGACAATTCTACAAGCCTCAGTTGATCCATGCGACGATAAACATATGCCTCGAAATCTTTCACCAGCGACGCATCTGTTGGGGGCTCCTCGTACACCTGGGACCAAGGCGGCTGGGGCGGGGCACCGATCATTGACCTCGGTATTGGAACAATGCGTGCCACGAATGTTTTCAACAGCTTGGACCTCGCTGGAATCGCTGCCTTTCCCCCATGACCGCCTTTGCCTCGGAGTGTGGGAGGCTGGGGGGCTGACGAGCTCGAGTCCGTTGAAAAATGCGACCCACGCCTGGCTGAAAACTGATGTCGCAATGCTTTCCACCAAGGCAAGGCCAGCGGTGCCCCTTTCACATCTCTGAAACATTGCACACTGTTCCACGTGCGACCAAAGATTGGTCCTGCAGCCCGTGGATGAGTCTTCTCCCGGCCCGAAATATTTGACGAATGATGGGCCTGAAGCCAAAACGAGGCCCTCGACAATCTCAGTCATGCCCGCGCTGATGATCTCTGACAGCGAAGCCGTCTGTGCCACGCGGGCTCAAGGTGATCTCTATTTCCTGGCGTGGCTACGACGAGCTGAGTGAAGGAAGGAGTGAGACATGAAAGTGATACTCTCGAAACTCTGGTAATATCAGGCACGCGGCACAAGCACGTCTGAGGCTCGGGCTCTACTTGGACAGTCACACGAAACTGCTGTGTCGATGACTTCCAAGCGCTGGAGCCCAAGCCTCCTCCTCCTCCTCCTCCTCCCTCCTCCTCCTCCTCCTCCTCCTCTTCCTCCTCCTCCTGCCCCTCCTCGTCCTAATTTTCCCCTCCTCCGTGTCCTTGTCTTCCTTTTCCACCCCGCCCAGTTCTGTGACAAGTCTTTGGCTCGGCCGCGGGACTTCGAGACGCTACCAGCAGACCCGAAACCGCCCCTGGCGACCGCAAAAGGCCACCAGGTCCCTCTTATGGTCCTAATCGGCCGTGTTGGGGTGTCCGGGGCTCCTCGTTGGCGCCGCTTCAACCGTCAGGGTGCCCTCTGGTGCCGTCATGGGCCACAGTTGGGAGCCTCTGGGGCCGCAGCGGGGCAGTCTTTGGGACGTCTTGGGCGAGCTTGCACCGTCGAGAACCATGACAGGCTGGGTGGCCTGAAACCTCTGAAAAAAAAACAGATGGAACAAACAACTCGGATTTGAACCTCCGGGGGCCCCTGTGGGAAGCCTCAAGGAAGCCTCTTTTGCTGGCGAAGTGGCCTGGCGAACTGTCATGTGGCGATGGTCGGCGTCGCGCAGGCCTGGGCGCGACTGTGGCGGCTCGTGGGGCCCAACTACTTGGAGGCGTTGGCCCCCCATGCGGAATCAGACAGATTGGGTCGCGCTTGGGGGTCCCAGGGGCCCGAACCACATCGGTCCGGGCGCCGTCTTGGGCTGCCGCGCGGCGCGGGGATGCAAGACAAGCTTGATGACTGAAAACGTTGGAAAACAATGGAAAACAAAACAAGGAGTTCGGCCCCAGAGGGCCCTCCGGGGAGGCCTCTTGAGAGCATGCCGTGTCGACGAAGTCGCTCGGGGGGCTGTCTGCGATCGTCGGCCTACTTGGGGGCGCTGGCCCCCCCATGCAGAGCCGTCTTGGATCACGGTTGGGAGCCCCTGGGGCCCGAACCACATAGGTCTGGACGTCCTCTTGGGCTGCCGTGCAGCGTGGGAATGCAGAACAAGCTGGATGAGTGAAAACGTAGAAAATCCGCCGACC